AAGTAATTTTGGAATTTTTCTGATATGGTTGTTGTAATTGATATAAATAACACTTGTTTGAGAACGTGCTCTATGGTTACGTAATTGCCACTGAGAGTTCTAAACACAGCCCTCATTCTGGCTGCCGTAGTTTGACAATTTATTGAAGTCACAGGAAACTGATAAAATAAATAAATAAAAGTAGATAGATAAAAATATAAATGCGCGAGTGAAAATATAAGCCACGGCATTCCAGCCTGAGATTTTGCGATCCAATTGCGTTGGTTATCGTTCACCAAGTAAGCTATGAAGCTTCTGAATTGGGAAAACGTTAACTTTAGGCTCATGTGATAAAGAGACGAATGAATAAACAAAGATTACTACGTTTGACGTTTTATGTCTCAAACATATTTCTTATTTCTTATCTTTTGTGATGCACGTGTGACAAAATCCGTATTTTCGACTTATCGCTGTCATCGAATTTACTTTACTTATTTTTTTCTCCTCTTACTTTCTACTGGGTTTTGTTCGACCCCTCCATCAAAAATTTCTAGAGTGAGAGGGCAAGCCTCGTAGCCACAAAATTTACAGAGGAGAAATACTAATCGAAGGTTGTCAAATTTTACAACTTAAAAGTTAAATGAAAAGAGAAGTTGTCAAAAAGCTGTCAGTCTACTGAAATAAGTAAACAGAAGCATCTTACACATATTATACGTTTTTTCAATAAGATGACGAAACTGATTGAAAAAGTAGACCTCAATTTTGATAAAATCTGATTTGAGAATTTTTATAACACATGGTTGAAAAAAGTTTCCTGAATCCACAATTTCAACAACCAAACTTTGGTAGTCCTAAGGAAGCCACGTGTCAGGTTATAAAGTAAACGATAGCAAATGGAAAAGTAATTGCCCTCGCATTGGTAACAATTATTTAAGCAGTGTCATTAACTTTTTGGGAAAAAAAATGTATACAAACGTGACAAATTCAGAAATACGAACCTACTGTACTCGTTTGATATGATAATCATTTCCACGAGGCGTTTTCGACGGATTTAGTTGATGAGGCAGAATTTGTTTATTATGTGAAGCAACCTTAATATCTAGTAAAAACGTGGACAATGTTCGCTTTTTTCCTTGTCTCTGAATTGCTTGCTGTAACACCGACACGCTCGTTTAATGCCTTTTTAGATGCACTATATATTGAAAAAGAGAGAAATTATGGCTGACATAATTCAAAATTTCAATTTGCTTTTACTGCCAATCGAAAATAGCACTTCTGGGCATTTTGTAGGTATCAGTTAACGATATTCAGACTCAAGGTGTCTTAAAATTTAAAGTAAAGAACCAAGTTTCCCCGACCCAAGCGATAATTACTATGAAAGAAGCCAGTTTATTAAGAAAGGCAACTGTTCCGATGCCTCCAGTCTACACGTTTACGGACACTGGCAATAACTATCGTAAAGATCGGTATCGGACAGATTCATGTTTTCATCGTTGATATCGGTGTTCTTAATTCGGGTAAGATAAAAGTCCCTCTTTGTCAAGAATGTAGAATGTTGTAATAATATGAGATACATTCTTCCTAGAGAACGATGAAATGAAAGTCATCGATGGAAATCATGACAACTTCGGAAAAGGCGAAATGAATCTCGGCGGACAATAATCAGTTACAGATGATAAATGTTTTTTCTGCACATTGGTTAGTCGCTCGGCTTCCTCTCGTTTGATCGCAGTGGCAATTAAAATATATTAAAACTTTGCGCTGCCAATCATTATCAACTGAGCTTGCATTCAGTTCATTTTTTTCACTGGGTTTCCCAAATTATGTTTATGAGGATTACCTATTTTGAAACTCAGATGTTTAACAAAGGGGTTTGTGGCTATGGTTGGCAGTAAATGACTAGGTAGTTAATCATTTTAAGAAATTTTGGTTTCACAAAGCTGCAGCTGTTTGCTCATTCAAGATGGCTTTGAGGTTTTTTGCCAGTGTTTTGAGGTTGGTGAGAACGTTTTATCCGATTTAGAACCAAAGAAGGGAAATGCTGACTTTAACACTAATTACAATGTAGCAGCGAAGGTAGATCTAAAACAGTGAACAATTTTTGATGACTTAGGTAAGGTGGATGATCTCAGTTTTTGTTGGGTGTTGTTTCTGTACGTGCTATCACTTTGACGGAAAAAAAGAGAAATACGCTAGGAACTCGTTTTAATTGTTCTCAGTAAAGGGGAAAACATCAATGAATATTAAATCCACCAGCGACGCTGGAGGCTTTCTGGTTTTGCCCAAATAACGCATGCAAAGATGCTTTTTAACGTAACTAAAAATATATATCTCCAAATTAAGAGAGAGAACATGTGCGTCTGGTGAGTGGCAGTTCAATCTCGATAAGGTGAAGGATATTGTATCAACCTTGCTAGAGTTTCCCTTGTTTTTCTCGAAATGCAGTCAAAGTTTTAAATTTAAAGTATCGTCACTTCCTTTGGTTGAGATAGTTAATTCTGTGTTCGGTCTGTTAAGCAGTGCAAGACAGAAAATGTTGTAGAAAGGCTAATTATTTGGTAAACATTTAACATTTCGGGGGAGGAAACATTTCCAGGTCCTCGCGCACTTTTTTCTGTTAGAAATTTTTATGAAACAATTGTTTCTGAAGTCCTCAAATTATTTTTGATATCTTCGTGGTATAGAATGCAAGTAAATGGCCACGTTTACTTTTTGACTGAGGTATAAACTTGTGTTCAATTTTCGCTGAGTTTCGCCCTTGTAAGATTTTTTTTCCTTAGTTGGCTTCATTACCTTGGCATTTACATTAAAAGATAGGAATTGTACAGAGAGGCTTAGCCGCCGGCCACCTTGTGGTTCAATAAAATCCGAAATCATTTGCGCGATAAGGGCACAACTGTACTCAATCTGTGACACACGGATAAAGCGAATGACAGATTTTGAAACATTACTCAATTTGACGTACAAGCTTTTCCGGTTTCCGGCCGTTCTCGATTTAGCCTATCTTGAAAGGTTTATAGCAGTGCGCAACGAGTGAAAGATCGCAAACTATCCACATTAATTATAATTGGGTTTTCACTAAGGTAAGTTTCATTCTTTTCTTAGTTTTCGATCGGAACCGAGTTGGAGTGATTATTAGAAAATATTGTGATCGTAGGTACTTTGAGGGAAGGCTGAAAATAATGACAAATAATTTAAACCAGACGAAAGTAGGTCAACGCATAATTAATGGTAAGATATAGCCTTTCTTTGGAAAAGTATAGAATGATTCGCAATATTTTTGTGCTAAGCCTACGGATTGAATGGCTATTTATGAGTGAGGGTTGCTACATGGAATACTAAGGGCCATCTTTTTTCTGTAAAATCCTTTTGAATGCTTTCCCAAATCTGTGGAACCTAATTATCTCGATATGAAAAAGAAGCTTTAATAACCGCTTTTATCAAGAAAAATGGTTTCGAAATATTTCATATTTGTTCAGTTCTTTTAATTTGTAGATAATTTGCACATAGGATGTGATGAAAAAGAAGCTCAATTACCGCTTTTATGAAGAAAAGTAGTTTTGAAACATTTCATATTTGTTCAATTGTTTTAATATGTAGATAATTTGCACACAGGATGTGAGAAATTCGTTAAAGCTTTAGAGCGTAGACATCAAACTTTGGAATACGCTTTTTAAGCCTTGAAAGAATTACGTGACTCTTTAATAAACCTTTCGGTGGTACAAGACAATAGCGGGTTTTCTAGACTGAGCTAAGAAAACACCGACCAGACAATCAAAATCTAGTTACTGGCCAGACAAAGACATTATTATGATTCATACCTAATATGATATCCTACCTTTCATATAAGATTTATTTTATGTCGACCTGTGTCTTTTTAAAAAAACATATGTTGCAAAGTAAGCGTCCTTAAAGAATCATCAAATTAAAAAAAACCACAAAACATAATAAAAAAGGATAAGAAATGGCAGGATATCACTGATGACAGCATGGACGGAAGCATGCCAGAATGGTGACGTCAGTGTCTACGTAATGTCCTTTGAACAACTTCAGAACACAAAGTGACAGTTAGGAATGTAAAAGGGGAAGCTAACCTTTGTTTTGAAAATTTCCAAAGATTTAGGATGTGGGAAGGAGTAACGATCCGTTAGTTTTTTGCGATGTAGGCTCATTTCTTCCAAATATAAGACAACAGTTCCTCCTATAAGTGAAACAACAATTTTTGGTGGCAGGCTTAGTCAAAGTAGCCGCAAATGTCAGAAAATTAGCAGACATTTCAAGATTATCGAATACATGTGATGTGTTCAAGTAGCGCAAAATAGGGAATGAAATATGGGAAAGTCATCTTTACAAAAATTTGCAACCATATTAATTGGCGTGCAAAGTAATATCCAGAAAATTTTTGAAGAATTTAAAGAAAAGGTTTCCTAAGGGGACATTCGGCGAGAACATTGATTGTTAAACCCAAAGATAATGAGAAATTGGAGAATATTGCTGGCTAGTAATGATGAAGCCATTGCGATATTTCAGTAATACGACAACCATTATGTCGCCGAACACGCAACCTAGTCACATTTGTCCCTGTTCGAGGGTCCTTACCATTTGAACTAACGTTAAATCTCACAGGATTGCTTATGTCATTTTTAATTTCTATTTCTTAGCTTTTTTACATTTGCATATTTTTTATACCTCTATTGTTTTGGTGTCCCGTTCGCGTATTGTTTTTTTGGGCGTTTATACACTAGGGTTTTTTTAATAATTTCTTCTTATCCTGTAAATAACGTTTCTTCATTTTTTATTACTCAATAAAGAGAAAGATTTAGGTAAAGAGAAAAATTTATAAAAGTGTTAACAAACCCTACTGCACCATCAAGCGAAGAGAGATTTCTCCAGCGGATGACATTATCCACGCTATGAGCAACCAGGGCCAGAGCTATTGAGAAAAATAGATTGGTTTCTTTTTTTTCTTCTTTCAGAAGATGGCGGGCAATTTAACTATGTTTTCAAATCGCACAAGTCAAATGAGCTGCAGACAGGAAATATTGGACAGCAAGTCGTATCACTATGATCTAAACATCTCTATTATTGTGATAAACACACCGTTTGCCATATTTGCTGTTCTAAGCAATCTCTTGATTGTAATCACAATCGGCAAGTCTCAAGAACTTCGAGTCCCTGCGAACATTCTTCTTGGTAGTTTGGCCGTTACAGACCTGCTAGTTGGTTTGATTACTCAGCCTCTGTTTATTACCTGGCGCTTGATGTTACACTACCCATCAACCATCTGTAACTCCGAAGTCGTTCATTCTCTATATGAGTGTTTCCTCCATTTGTGCGCGGGCGGCTCTTTCCTCAGTCTCGCATACCTCAGTACCGACCGTTTCCTGGCAGTATCCAAGCCGTTACATTACCGTGCTAGCGTCACAACAACACAAACCGCGCGTAATATGGTCATACTGTGGCTTGCATGGATTTGTATCGTTGTTCTCCGCTACTCGGGTATTGACGAAGAAACCAATCAAACCATTACTTCGGTCATTGCTGGCACTTTGGTAATATATCTTGTTGCTGCTCAGATAGCCTTGATAGTCAGCGTCAAGCGCAACAGTATTCATGATTTGCTCTCAGAGGGAAACGCCACCGTCATCGCTTCGAAAAGAGAAGCACGAATTGCGTTAACCATTGTTTACATTTTCTTAGCTCTCCTGGTTTTCCTCCTCCCCGCTGTCGTTGTTCAAATTGTTTTGGGCTTCACCAGCAGTAATAAGAGTAAAACCGAGTTGAACTTAGCCATTTCAGCTCTTTTGATAAACTCTTCTGTAAACCCACTTATCTACTTCTGGAGAGGCCGAGACCTGCGCAAGGCAGCACGTCTTCTCTTTCTGGGCCCTACGACTAGAGCAGGCGATAGCAGATTGTCGTCTAATAGCCCTGATAAAAACAGCGGTGATAACAGTGGAAGGTCTGTTGAGGAAACTGTTTAGATAAATTATGTTAAAAGAACCCTCCATGTGACAAAAATGAAAAATTGCAATAGACATTCAGAGATACCGTACATATGTCCTAGTTTAAAACGATTTCAAACCAATTTGATGTTTCCTCTGTGTTCCAGCTACCTTACCATAATCTTAAAACAAAGTAAAAATTAAAATAATACAACTTATTTGAAATTTAGTCAAACTGAAATCAATTTTAACCTCGGCATTTCAGTGTTAAAACATAGTCCTGTCTTTTACACTATCTTAATAGTGTTGGAACACTATCTTGATACAACGAGATTTAATTGTGATTTAGAACACTGACATTGCTTGACTGGAGTTAAATGTTTTGTAACTGAATCGCGAAAGGAAACCAAGGGTACTCAGCGGGCTTTATAAACGTCTGCAGATATGCTCTCCCAAAGAAAGGAATCGCGAGTGTTTTCAGTCCATTTAAAGAAATAAAAACGAGGTTGCTTTCATCTTTGTTGTCGAAGGCTTCAGGTTCAACTAAGGGGACAACCACTTTTTTCCTACCCTAAATCGGGCGTTGACGAACTCAAAGTAGGGGTCGAAGTTGATAACTGGAAAATCCAGACTCGACGCATTTGTCTCTGTGTGACGGTATGTGCACCGTCAATAATGAGGAGATCAAGTGAGGTGGTGTGAGATATCTCACATGAGCTATGCACTACTGATGCATTTATGGCTAATAATAGTTTTCACTTTATCTGCCCCACCTTTTGATGTTATAAATTTTTTCCTTAAAAAGAGAATTCTAACAGGTTTGAAGTAGATTCATGTAGTTGTGGGTTACGATGAAATTTTAACATTTGCATTAATAAAAGTTTTAATCAGTCTGATATGAGACTAATGATATTTTTTAATCCAGCGCAGAGACATGAGATGGAAACATTTATATCCAGTTTCTCCTTTTTTATGCCATTGGATCAGTTTGCTAGTTTTTCCTCTCCTTTTGATAGGAAGAAGAAGCAATGAAATGTTACAACTGTAACACTGTGGTATGTTTGATTTTGGATTAGCGCATCTTTTTTTCTGTGATTCCTGTTGTTTCAAACAGGATACTCGTTTTACGTAGTCGTCGAAAATATCCAGACGTCACCGTTAATATAAACGGTAGTGTTAGTAGAACAGAAACTGTCAACCTCACTACCCGAGCGTAACAGAAAACCGATACAAGTAAAGGGGTGATATCTCTTGGCCTCTTTACCCAACTTAAAAAAAAAAAAAACCTATCGGTCTTAGTTGTTACATTTATATGTTGTATTTTTCGCAAAGGAAATTCGGAAAAAATGCTGTGAAGCCATTTCCGAGATAAATGGCACCAATTTCTAACAAGCGTCCACGAAATATTATTATGAAAAATACTATTGACTCGCTAAGCTGTAGTTCCTCCTCGATACTAGGAACTAGTCCCTAGTTTAGCACAATAGCTAACAACTGCGATGTACACTGGATAAGAAAATACATTTCCAGTCCTTAACCAATACCCGCCCACAAAAAGCGGCCATTGCACCTAAGAGAAAGAGGCTTGACTTAAGTTGGTTTTTGATCGATGGACAAAACCGTCATATAAGGGAGTAGCCTTCAGTTTCAGTTAAAAATGACAAATTTTTTGGGAACTATGTCATCAAGTCCCCTTCAGAAATGGCTGGCGAAGAAAAAAAAGAACAAAAGAACAGTTTTTCAGAGAAACTGCCTTTATGCAGCGACTTGTTACTCACAGGAATGTGCTAAGTATGAATGGTTACTTGGACAGGTCAGAACCAATTATGCTAATCCTGGAATATGTTTCTCAGAGAGATCTTTTTCAGTGGTTGAGAAACAGAAGACTACAAGTAAAATTATTTTTCAACGTCAACAACAGGCGCTGTAAAATTAAATCAAAGGCTTTGGACACTTTGCAAGGACTAAGGTGTAAAAGATCATAAAAGTCGCTTCTGCTTATCATGGAAAATGTCTGTGTAAAGGAGACGCAAGCTTTTTTGTATTAACTGTTTGAACAAGCTGATATGGTAAATTGTTTGTGACAGAATGTTTTACTTATTTCAGAACCAATGCAAAAAGGGCATTGATCGCGTCATTTTTGGTTCCGTGGCCAATCTTACAGATGGCGATAATGAGTATAATACAATCGAACCTGAATTATACCGTATTAAGCGGTTGTCCTGTATTAGGCCGTCATCCTGTATCAGGCGGTCGGTTGCCAAAGTCCCGAATATGTTTCCCCTTAATTAATGTAATATTTCTTTTTAAAGTGGTCACCTCTATCTAACAGTCGCGGTCACCCTTTTACTAAGTTCCAAAAGCCTGTTTGTATTGTCTTCCCCTAGTACGTAGCGGTCATATAAAGCCGAACTCATTTTTAAAAGTGCCTACTTCTAAATCAAAGCACGGCTTTTTGAAGGTGAAAGATGTGTCTACAATTTGCACTTAAAATGAAAGATTTTTACGAAGTAAAAGCACTACCCCCGATCGTCCCAAAAACTGTATGCGATCGGGAGCTCTTTTCAGAGCTCTTTGAAACCCATCTCCATCCGATGATTCTAAACATGGTGCCACTATACGTTGACGTTGCTAACCCAACGTTCGATTTACAAATAAATGGCGAAGGAGATGGAGTGAAGTTCCGTAAGGCTCAAAATACTGTTTGAGCTGTTACAAATAAGTTCATCACAACTTGGATACCGACTCACGAAATCTGGTCGCGAACAGGTGAGGCAAGCGCTAGCGCAGAGGTACGGAGATCTCGGATCAATATCCAGTCCACGTCAACGGTAAAAAGAGGAAACAGCTGAAAGATGAGACGTGGATTTGGGTGTCGCTTCAACCTCACGAAATTGATCAGTATGCCAACGACGTGATGGCGCACCCCACACGAGAAAATTCAGCGCATCTCTGGAGGCAAAGACTGCAGATCTATACGAGCACATGTGCTAGAACCTTACCCACTCTGGGAAAGATTTTACAGAAGTTGGCAAGAGGCAACAGCACTTGACACTTAACACAATTACAGTAAGTTGGCTTTTTTTACATCGATGATTTACTTGACTGGTGGAGACACTTAGCCAAATAACTTTTATTTCATAATTATCTCAAATAGGGTATATCTTAATAAACGTTTTCCATGGATACCAAATAGTCAATTCAAACACAACACGAAATCCCTGACATAAGAAAAAGAATCATGTAGATGAACTTAATTAACTGATTCTGATCTCGTTATTGTTCTTTTTTATTTATTTATTTTTTCAAATGGTTTCTTGTGTGTGCAGAGATAAGGCAAGAGAAGCGCTGTTTTTTGCCGAATCATATGCATTAGTGCCTTAGTTACTACAAGTTTGTGACAAGAATGGCCTGTCTAATGAACTGGATCTGACCGCTGAAATTGAAAGGAATGAAAGTGGCTGGCTAAGACTTGAGGACAACTAACGGTCAGCATGGCTGATGATGGACCAGGATAACGTACGGTAAATATTATCACCCATATATACATATCCTCATTTTTCATGTCCCGAACATGATCAGAATGCATGGGTCATTAAAGAAATTTAGTGATCAAGATACTGTTGCTAAATTCCATTTTTCTGGTAGTGCTGCTTGATGTATCAAAAAATGTTGTAATACAAAAGGTACTTACAATGCCCATACCACAGAACAATACTTAACCTATAACCTTTTGGAACAATGGTGGCAAACAGGAGGTGGCAAAAAAATATCCGAGAATTTTAATGGAATCAGCTGCAGAAGAGCCAAACAGTGACATCCATGTAGCTCCACCAAAACGAGTTCTCGAGCAAGACGAAGAGGAACTAAAATAACTCAAGGTTGCAGAACTTGTTAAGCTCCTTGTGAATATAGTTAGCTACCAACCAAGTCTATGAAATAAAAATGATTTAAAACAAGAAATTCCAACTTTTCCTTGTTACCCGATTGCTAGGTTAGTATCCTCCAGCACTTTTTATTTTTCTTGTTGTTTGATTTTTGTGTTATTATTTCGCGTACCTCTAGTTTTTCTTGTTCCCGATTGTTGAGTTAGTATCTCGTGCACTTTTATTTTTTCTTGTTATCCAATTATTATGTTATTCTCTCGCACCCTTTTAAGTTTGCCTTGTAAATAGATGTTACGTTAGTATCTTGTGCTCTTGTTAACTTTAGTTTTCCTTGTTTTTCGATTGTTACGTTGGGTTCTGTTGTTCTTTTTAGTTTCCCTTGTTGTCCAATTGTTTGTCACTATCTCGCGTACCGTTTTAATTATCTTCTTGTCCGATTATTCGATAGCATTTTGCACACTTTAAGTTTTCCTTGGTAATCGTTGTTACGTTTGGTTCTCTTGCACTTTTGGTTTTTCTTGTTGTTGGATTGTTACGTCAGTCTCTCGAATTATTTTAGTTTTCCCTGATGTCCGATTGTTTTGTTAGTATCTCATGGTATTTCAGTTTTCCTATTGTTTAATTGTATCTCGCAGTCTTTTAGGTTTACTTGTCGTTTGATCGTTAATTTAGAGTTTTGGACACTTCTTGTTAATATTCGTTTTTGTGCGATTGTTACGTTAGTATCTGCACACTTAAAGTTTGCTTTTCTTTTCGGTGGTGTTTTAGACACTTTTTGTTTTCCTTGTTGCTCAACTTTTACGTTGGATTCTCGTGCACTTTTAGACTCCATCGTTTTTCCAGCTTTACGTTGGTATCTTGTGAAATTTTAGTTTTCTTTGCTATCCTATTGTTATATAGATATTTCGAAAACCTCCATTTTTCCTTGTAGCTCAGTTATTTAGCTATTAATTTCGGGGTCTAAGTTTCACTCGTTTTCTAAAAGTTAAGTTGGTACCTCGCGCACTTTTACTTTTCCTCGTTGGCTGTTTGTTACGTTTGTTAGGTCAGGTCAGGTTTTATCCAAGCCTGCTATCGGTACCATGTAAACCGATACCACCTGTCGCATGAAGTCCCAGCTGTGGGGTGGCCTTAACAGGGACACATAAATCTCTGTTTGGTCCCCGACGCCACGCTAAACCCACCTGTACTGTGTCACCTTGGGAAAGGGACCTTTGCAGGTGTCCACAGTGTGAGTGGTTTACCCGCACCTTAAGTTGAGGGCGGAAGTCAACGGCGAACCACCACTTGCTACCTTACGGACCGGAGATCTTTGTCAAGACCAAAGGCTGAGAGAGTAAAAAAACACAAACGTTTGGTTTGTGCTTGAGGGCTGGAGGTCTTTGTCAAGATCAAAGGCTGAGGAAATGAAGAACACAAACGTTTGGTTTGTGCTTGGGAGGAAGTCACAAACATGGATAAGCCGGAGGGTTGAAGCCACAAACATTGACAAGCTTGGAGGTTGAAGTCACAAACATTAACAAGCCTGGAGGTTGCAGTGGCTGGTAGCCACATCTCATTCTCACTCTTGTCCCGGACCGGCAGTTGGTAGCTGCCGCACCTTCCAGGACGACATGCAGGGTAGTGTACAAAGTTACAGCCAATATTCACAGAGGAAAAAAATAGATGAACAGAAAAACTTGGAGACGCGTAAAAGCCATGGTCTGCGACGGGATCAAGCTACCTTAATAATCTCGGTTGGAATTTTTGATAACCACGGACTTCTGCCTGAGCTGTACTGGTTACGTTAGCATCTCGTGCACTTTTAGTTTTCCGTGTTATCAAGCATTACGTTAATATCTTGTGCACTGTTAGTTTTCACTCTTATTCAATTATTAGGTTATAGCCCCGTGAACTTTTAGAGTTATTCCGTTAGTAAGTTAGCATCTCGTGCACTTTGAGTTTTTATTGTTATCCAATTATTACATTAGTGTCTTGCGCACTTCAAATTCTCATTGTTGTTCAAAATTTCAGTTAATTCCCTTTGCATTTTAAAAATTATCCAATTATTCCGTTAGTACCTCGTGCCCCATCAGTTTTTGTCATCCAGTTATTAAATTAGTATCGCTTGCACTTTTTCTTTTCCTTGTAACTGAATTATTACATATTAGTATCTTGTGTATTTTTAGTTTTCCTAGTTGTCCAATAATTACGTATCTCGTGCTCAGTTAGTTTTCGTTGTTATTTAATTATTCCTTTGGTTTTCCTCGTTGTGTTAGATTAACATCTCGTCAACTTTTAGTTTTCCTTGTTGTGTTAGATTAAAAACTAGTCCACCTTTAGTTTCCCTTGTTTTTTTAATTGTTTCATCAGAATTTCGTGCACTTTTAGTTTATCTTTATATCCAATGATTACGTTAGTATCTCGTGCGCTGTTACAGTTTTCATTGGTATCTAATAATTATATTCGTATCCCGTGTACTCTAAGTTTTCCTTTTTATCCAATTGCTACATTACTATCTCGAGAACTTCTGGTTTTCTTTTTTGTTTAACTGTATATTAGTATCTCGTTAACATTAAACACTCCTTGCTGCACTTTTAGTTTTCTTTCTTGAATAATTGTTATATTAATATCTCGTACACTTTTAGTTTACTTTGATATCCAATAATATTTTTAGTATCCAGAGCATATTTAGTTTTCCTTGCTATCCAATTATTCCTTTGGTATTTTGCACCCTTTTACTTTTCCTTGATAATTAATTGTTACGTTAGTATATTGTGCATTTTCAGTTGTTGTTGTTATTAAATGGTTATCTTATTATCTAATGCACTTTTGGTTTTCCTTGTTGTTTAATTTTAGTTTTCCCGTAATTTTATTTAATTTTCCTTATCATGGACTAGTTTTTACGTTAGGATCTCGTGAACTTTCAGTTTTTCTTGAAATCCAATAATTACGTTAGTATATCGAGCACTTAAGTTGTTCTTATTGTTCAACTGTTACATTGATATCTCGTGTACATTGTTTATTAGTATCTCGTGCACTTTAAGTTTTTCTAGTTGTTCAATTGTTTCATTAGTATCTGGTGCACTTTTAATTTTTCTTGTTATTTAATTGTAAGATTAGTAACTTGTGCACTTTTAGTTTTCCTTGTTATCCAACAATTACATTACAATCTCGTCCACTTTAAGCTTTCCAATTATTACTTTAGTATCTCGGGAACTTTAAGTTTTCCATTTTGTTTAATTGTAACAGTATCTCGTTCATATTTAGCTTTCCTTAGTGTTTAATTGTTACATTAGTACCTCGCTCATTGTTAGTCCTCCTTGTTATCCTACCATTACGTTAGTATTTAGCACAATTTTAGTTTTTCCTCGTGATGAATTGTTACGTTAGAATCTTATGTACTTTTAGTTTTTCTTGTTGTTTGATTGTTTCATAAGTATTTCCTGTATTTTTAGTTTTTCTCGTTGTTTAATTTCTAGCACTTTTAGTTTTTTCATGCTGATTAATTGTCTCATCAGTATCTCGTGCACTTAGTTATCCTTTTATCCAATTTTAACAGTAGTATCTCGTGCACTCTTACTTTTCTCTGTTTTCCAATTATTGAATTACCATATCTTCCAATTTTTATTTTCGTTGTGATCCATTATTACGTTAGTATTTTGGAAAGTTTTAGTTTCACTTGCTATTTAATTGTTACATTCATATCTTGTGCGCTTTTTAGTTTTCCTTGTTATCCAATAATTACATAAGTATTCCATGTACTTTTAGTTTTCCTTGCTATCCAATACTTACAGTAGTACCTTGTCAAGTTTACATTTTCCTAGTCACTCAGTTGTTACACTGGTATTGTATGCATTTTGTTTTCCTTGTTAATGAGATGAAAAAAAAAAAACAGAGAAAACTAAAAGTGCACAGGATACTAACGTCATTATTGGATATTACTTTGATATTTTGCATACTTTTAGTTTTCCTATATGAATAACTGTTACGATGGTGTCTTGTGCACTTTTAATTTTCCTTCTTATCCAATCATTACCTCCGTATTTGCATACTTTAGGTTCCTATAACTATTACGTTAGTATCTTGTGCACTTTTAGCCCTCTTTGTTTTTCAATTTTTAAATTGGTATGGAGCAAACCTAGTTTTCCCTGATGATTAATTGTTAGGATAATATCTCGTGCAC